ATTGGAAAGAAATAATCAACAACCTCATTCAAGGAAAAGCTCTAGAATTAAAAGATGTTTCCAGACTGAAGGGGCACACCGAGTACTCAGCACCCTGGATGAAAAGAAACCCACACAAGGACCCATCACTGTAAAATTTTAGAATACTAAAAATACAATCTTAAAAGTTTTCAGAGATTTAAGAACGACAAATGGGAAGGAAAGGAAGAATAAATAAGGGTAAATGAAAAGCAAAACACATAGACATAGGTCACATGTAATACATAAGGAATCAGAATGGCTTCAGACTTCTCAAAAGCAATATGGAAGCTAGAAAGCAATGGAACAAAATTATACAATGATACGATTTCCAATCCAATATTCTTCACCTAACCAAAGAATCAAACAAGTGTCACAGTAAGCTAAAGCTATTTTAAAACATCGCGTGAACCAAGAAAGAACATGCCATAGGTCACTGGAAAAGTGGAGATCCAACCACAGGAGACAGCGCAAGGAATCCCACATTACTAGCTGCATACCAAGTCTAGAGGGCAATCAGTCCAGAATGGAGGTCGGAGAAATATGAGAGACTTCCTCAAGAAGATAAAATTGATAACCATACCTGTTATGTCCAAATATCTCAGGAGACACCTGATAAAAAGTTGAATTAGTGATTATTGCAGAAAAAAACTAAACAAGGCATAGGGGGCGGGGGACAAGGAATTCCAGCCAGATCATCCTATGGTAAAGCTAACAGTCAACAAGTCACATTAAGAACTTCTTATCAGCTCTTTAGTCTCCTACAGTTAGGTACAAGCAGAAGACCAAGGATTGCCAGAAGCCTGGGGAAAGGCGCTATCACAAAAGGTAAAGCCCAAAACATACAAAAACGGGGAGAAAGGCAACTTGGAGGAAACAGACTGTGATAACAGATGAAAACTTGGGGGGGTTACCCACTAACATTTCTATATGCTAAACAGTATACAGAAATATATATACAAGTATACAATATACCCTAGATACCTGGGGTGGGAGGAGGGCAGTGAGTGCAGGACACTGTACAGGAAGGGACAAGTAATCGTATTTTACAAGAACACTGAATAATCAGTGGTGATGCAATCATAACTATTAAGAGGAAGGGGGATCAGGAGGATGGGGGAACAAGCTGAGTAGGTGATGACAAAGTAAATCATCATTTTCTATACAGGAAGTCAATAAAGCCAAAAACAAAAGCAAGGAGTGTTTTATTTAACACCTATTTAAATAGGGCATGTGAGTTAGACATAGTTCTCTGGGTTTTCCAAATTCACTTAATTCTTTTAACAACCCTATGAGGTAGGTACCATTATCCTCACTTTTTAAAATGAGCAAACTGAGACGCAGAGAGGTTAAGCAACCCAAAAAGACTAGCAAATAATACAGGATGGATCAGACCTAAGTAGTCTAATTCCAGAGTCGATGCTGTTAACTACCTGGCTATGCTGCATATTCAGGAGCAATACAAGAATTTACTTAAAGACTAGGAGGTAAATATTACAATCATCATCTAAAAGAGGAGAAAGTGATTGCTGCTGAGAAAAAGAAAATGAAAATGAAGAGGGCAGGAAATTTTGCTTGTTCTGATAACCATGTAAACGATTTGGCTCTTTACAGGCACAACCTAAACAAAACTTACAACTTATCATTTAGTATTTTACAATTGAAGTATTCAATCTGACACTACGATTCTAAGAAGTAGGTAAAATGAGTATTACTCCTATTTGATAAGAAAACTCTCATTCCTCTTTAATAAATATTTGAGGGTCCACTATAATAGGCACTGTATTTAGAAGATTGATATCAATTTACCTCAAGGAATGATAAGGTAATAGAGGTTCATAAAGTCTTTTTATTCATTTCTTTTCAATATGTTGCACTTAAATGATGTGATCCTACATCATGAACTGCTGTTCTTAAGGTGAGAGACTATATAAATTTTAAATCATGATAGAAAAAGCAGAGAAAGATCTGTTAAAAAAAATATGTAGCTCTTGCCCTTGAGGAACTCATAGTCTTATGGGGAAAACGGGTAAACATAATTATCACTGAATGTGTGCAGTGCCATGGATAGAGGAACACTAAAAAGCGCTAAGGAGACAACATTCCCTGGTGAACAGAACGTGTCAGAGGGAACATCTGAAGGACGAATAGAAGTCTGATCAATTTCACAGAAGAGACTATATTTAAAAAGTCACAAAACATTGATAGCATTATCCAGTGTGAAATACCTACATCTTCCTTGAGTTGTAAAAATAAGTTCACATTAAAGGCTAAAATAAGACATTAAGAACTTTCTTAATGAGAATGATTTTCTAAAAATAAATCTTAATGCCTGATCCATGTTCCTAATCTTTATAGTCAACTGAAAGCATTTTCCAGTCTACGGCCATACCACCCTGAATGCGTCTGTTCTCATCTGAAAGCATTTTCCACATGTGTAATAAACATTTTAAAATTTAAAGTGTTAGAATATTATTCCACCAGATGATTAAGAATAACCAATTTTCATGTGTCCTACCACCCAAAGTTCTACCATTAACATGTTTTCTAAGTCATAATATTGAAACTATAATGTTCTTTCTCCCATAAGAGACCAACAGGTGCCCAAGCCCAGAAGATGTAAGTGACACAGAAACTAACATGGGAAGAAAAAGTAAAAAAAAAGTTTTTAATCATTATCACTTTTTTCTCTCATATTCTCAAATTTCCCTTTCAAGAACAAATTTAAATGAACATTTCTTTCTCCAAACTACAGTGATACAAGAAATAATCTGCAGTAAAACATAATACACAAATTTATCCTATCTGACCTTTACAGACAATTTGAATCATTTTGATTTTTCAGAATTTAAAGGATACCTCTGAAAAAACCTTTTCCTGGTTCTAATGACTTAACTTTGATGTTGACAAAGGCTTAGATATGTAGTTAATTCAAAACAGGTACAGTCAACTCAAATTACTTTACAACAATATTTAATCATATTTCTCAGTAGCTCAGGACCTCTTTTTGTCCCTTTAATTTCAAACATTTCTAGATAATCTGCCCCTAATTAATCATCTCAGTTATTATATGGAAAAATTAATTTTATACTAATACCTTAAATTGGGACTATCTCTACAGTTAAGAACCTAGTTTTAAGTAGCAACATCTGACTTTAATCATCTGGAACAGTAAGTTGTGGAAAGCTCTATCGTGCCCTACCACCAGGAGGGAAAAAAAAAAAAAGAGAGAGAGTCACGCCAGGAGACCACAAATGGTAATTAGCAAAAACCATGGCAGGTTTGAATTCAAAATATGTGGTTTTCATTTGTGTATCTGATCCATTTTATTTCTCTAAATTTAGCATCCAACATAATGTACCTGTTTTTATAGAGGATTTACTCAGATCACAACTTTTAGATTTAGAAAACATCAATATTTGGGGTAAATAATTCTTTAAAATGACAGGTATTAGCATAAACTGATAAATTTAAAGGCTTAATAATTATAACAGGAGTATTAAGGAAACCACCTCCTAGAAAAGGTCTATCTTTTAACACAGTTTTGGACACATGATGCAAAATACATTTGGCTAGTAACAAGATTTTAACTGACTATTACAAAAATAATAAAAATCCTGAAAGACAAGATTTTAAATTATTTCAATTAACCATGCTTTTACTTTATATCTTTTAAGTAACTAAAAAATAAAAAAAAAATCATGAAAACCTCACTGAAACATTTGGTCTTTTTCTAAAACTGCAATTCTTTTCAAATATGCTCAATTTTTCCAAAGTGAAAACCACAGATATATATTTAGAATGTAAATGTTCCAATTAGCGTGATAAAAGTTCAATCACAAAAATCTCTAATACTAATTAAATATCTTTCAAGACTATTCAAAATTCCACAGTGAAAATGAATAGCCTTTATCATAACTCCCATATTATTTTGACCAAGTTTAGTCACAGACTGTCAAATTTGTGAAAAGAACATTCCTTTAAAAATCAACTTAGTTTAAAGCCATGTAGTATCTTGAGAGATTTCACAACTTTCCTAGCTAACCAGCTTCAAAGACACAATTTGATCCAGTAAGTGTGATGACCACATTTCCAATCCAATTAAGAAAACACTGGCTTAATAATGTATTCTAGGCTTTATGCATTTTTTCGGTAAGGGAAGAGCGAACAGGTGGAGTAAATTAGCAGGAGAACAAAGTCAGTTTCATGTCTCTATAAATTCAACCCTCCAAGACTTTCTCTTTCTTTACTCTTTAAAATGGCTACCACCTTGATCTACTATGCAAAAGGGAAAATGTACAGCATACTACTATCAAAGATAAATCTGGTTATTTTGACAGTGTATGCCCTCCTCCCCAACAAAACACTCTTTAAGAGTCCATTCCTTTACTTTTCAAATAAAACGACCATTAAATACGTACACAAAAACTGGTCAATTACAGTCTAAGGGCAACCTGTATAACCCAGCTTAGGTCATCTTTCCTATAATATCTGACTAGGAAAAGCAAGTAACATTATCTTTCACAGCCTAAGCTCAAACACAGTGGAACTGAAAAGGATTGTCCAGTCCAGTGAAGGAGAAACAAATGTGGGAATCACAATCTACCCCCCCAACAAAGAGATGATCATTGATTTTAGTAATTCAAAAGAATAGATTAACTACTCTATGGGTTAGCAAAAATTAAGCTTCTGTTCATAAGTAATAAATTCTAAAAACCATTTTATGGTAACAAGACCACTTGGTGCTCCCAAACCTATTCTTAGCGCTCAAAAACTCTTGTCCAATACTGTTTACGTATTTATACCACTTCCTATCCAGGCTGAAACCATTCCATAACACTCCTGCTCTAGAAAACTTACCAGAAAAATGCATTTTCACGTACATAAATATATATAATGCTTTAGACTAATCTTGTGCATGTACATAGCTACTGAACAGATTAACTCTGTTTACTGTCTGCAGAAACATGGCATGATCTTACCTCTCATCCTCGCCATCCACCAGGGGTGTCGTCAGCGGTAGCACCTTCAACGGGAAAAGAGAAGCAGAGGCTGCTAGGCTGCTGCTACTCCCATCTGAAACTGCTGACATGCCCCCACTGTCACCACTGACGGTCTGAGGTAAGCCAACTACGGACGGTTCCGCTGGGCGCCTGGCATCTTCAATTTGGCTTCCAATTGCCTGAGCTAACGATTGTGCAGAGAACTGAGTGGAACTTAGTGGTATCTGCTGTGCCAAAGGCAAATTTATATTAGATACTATCAAAGGAGGTTGACTAACACTTTGAACCAAATTACCATTTTGAGTGGCAGGGGCTTGTGCTATACTCTGTGATGGAACCAAGTTTGCTGGGGCAGAAGGCATTCCAGAAGGACCAGCTGAACTAACCTGATTTGTAACAGAAATACTACTAGCAGAGGGCAAAGGACTAACTGCAGGCAACTGCTGAGGAACAACTCCTTGAGCTACTGGCTCTGCTCCCTGCGGCTGGGGAGGCACAGTTAACAGGGTACTTTGGGGTGCAATGACCAATTGCTGAGGAAGGTTTGAAGCACTAGTTTGAACTCCCTGATGAAGAATCGCAGTTTGAGCAGGTGGAACTATCTGTGAAGATGGAGGAGCACCTTGCGGAATAACTGAAGGTGTGACCTGGGGAGAGGGCTGCGGCACTGCTGTGGGTATGTTTGTTTGTTGACTAATATTTGCAATTTGACTGCCAGGAGGTACAGCAGATACTGAGGTCTGAGCCTGACCAACAGGTTGGCCAGACGGCCCTGCAGGCTGTGCTTGGACTGCTGTGGGTGGCACCGGCAGCTGGATACTCTGCGGCTGGGCCATAGGAATCACCGATGCTCCTGCTCCTGCTCCGGCAGAAGGGGGCTGTCCAGAGGACACAGCTGTTTGAAGAATCGGTGGCTGCTGTACATACTCTGAGGTCACTTTCGGAGTCACCAATGTACCATGGCTTGGGGCCATCTGTGTCGACACGGTCGGCTGCTGTTGTCCATACTGTAACTGTTGGGGTGGTGTGCCTGGAAGGGGAGCTTGCACTGGAGGGGCCGGCTGAGAATACGGCAGCTGGGGCTGAGCCAAACTGGAAATGGAAGGCGGCTGACCTAAAGCTGAAGTTACACCAACCGCGCTGACAGGTGATGGCTGGATACCAGTTGCAGCATTGATAGCAGCTTGCAGAGGTACTGGTTGCAGACCTTGCTTTTGCTTATAGCTCAGTTCTTGAGACTGTAACTGTACTTGCGAGATCTGCGACTGAGAAATACTCTGTGGTACACTGACTGCTGAGATGCTCTGTGGACCAGGGCCACTGAAGTCCATCTGTGGAAGGGCCACACCTTGCAGAGCTGGTGGCTGCTGCTGCTGCACCACCACAGCAGGGGCTCCCATCTCTCCACTTCCCACACTCTCCGTGTAGTGACTCAGTGTGCTGACACTACTGCTCACTGAACTACCACTAGTGCTCTCCCTCTCGGAAGTCACTTCTGTCGGGTTGTGTTTTACAGTTTCCACCACTTTATTTATCACCACACCTTCAGCAGCAGGTACAGCATTTTCTTTTTCATAAAACTCAGTGCAAGTCCATCTACCTTTTTTAAAGGGCTCAGAACTAGAATCTAACTTCACAACTCTGAACCTTGACGTGTTAACTGTTGGTTGTGGCTGCTGACTTGGAACTGATCCCACAGTCATCCCTGCAGCTGCACTGGGTGCACTGGTAACGCCAGCGGCGGAAGAAATAGTACCATTGCCCATGCCACTTAAGACATTCACATTAACACCGCTGCTCACTCCAGGCCCAACACTCACGCTAGCAGCACTGGGGATATTGCTTGCACTTATATTAGCACTACCAAGCATGCTGCTTGTCACATTAGGACTAAAACTACCCACAGCAGTAATGTTAGCATTATTCATCGTATTAGTGCCAGTGACAGAACTTATACCTATACTGCCGGTGGTACTCGGAGCACGGATATTAGTCATTACAGATGCAGGTGTGCCACCCGATGATACAGCAGAAGTTGGTGCAGCTGGCTGAACACTGTCAGAGCTTCCAGTTGTAGAGAGTTTTCTGGATACTGGGCTTGAAGGTGGCCCTCCAGGAATGGATGTACTGGCCACAGCGGCATGGGATGGATGGTGGTGCCCATGGTGGAGGTGGTGCCCATGATGAATGTGATGGTGGTGATGGAGGTGGTGTGGATGAGCATTTCCATTGATCACAACATTCGCTTGTGGAAGGTGAGGCAGATGAGGCTGAGGAAGATGGGGCTGGTTGGGAGAGACTGCCCCAGGTGTCTCTGCTTCCTGGAAGTTATTGAGAGTCTCTTCTGAGGAGCTGCGTTCGGGCTCCCCTAAGTCAGTCGCCCTGGAAAGTGACACATCAAGGATCTCGGAAGAAGACAGATCTTCCGTGTGAGATTCATCCAGATCATCATAGCTCTCGGTGTCCTCTGCGATGCTGTTGTTCGAGCTGATGCTGGCGGAGATCTGAGCGGGGGTCACGCTGGTTATCTGGAAGCCACTTTTCTTTTTCATCTGAGTTCCGCCTGGCGCAAGAGGCTGTGCCTGCAGCTGAGCCTGCGAAAGGAGGTTCAGGCTTTGTGGAGGCGGAGGCTGTGGTCCCGACAGAGAAGATGCTGCGGGAGGTGGTGGCTGGAGGAGCGGCGGCGGCGGTGGAAAATCCTCGGAAGATGGGGCACTACTAGCAACGCCGGTACCTGCTGCACTGAGAGCAGAGGCGCCGCCACTACCACTGCCCCTTCGAGGGAACATTGCCGGGTGCGCCATCTTCCTAGCACTAATGTCTGCAGCGGCCGCGGCCGCGGCGGCTGTGGACTCGGGCGGCTGGTGCATTGTGTTGGGTACCGGGGGGGCGGAGGAGGCGAGAGCAATTTCCTTCTGCACAGTAATCTTTGTATTCAAGACGCCGAGGAGGAAAACGGGACCTGACGCTCCGCCCGGCGCAATTCCTCCTTGTCCTCCTCCTCAGCCGCAAGCGCCGGCCGCTCCTGCCTTCGAGGGCGAGCTTCAGGAAGGGAGGATGAACGAGGGTGAACGGGGCAGCCGGGGACCCGAAGGGGGGACCCCTTCAGTCCTTCGCCATTCACTTTCCCCTCTAGCTTCACACCCCCC